TAAATCCCAAAATTCGCTCGTCATTTGTGGAAGACTTAGTGTTGATTGTCCGGAAGAGTGGAGGATTATACTAAGGGTTTTGAGAAAGAGGCTGAGGAGATAGGGTTGGAAAGCGATGTTGGAAGAAGAGTTTGAACCGTAGGCTTTGAGATGAATAAAAAAGCGACCTGTTAAGGGGAAGAAAAATGAGGTAGAGACGATTTTGGCAAGGGCATTGGAGATAGGCTTTTTGCGCTTTTTCTCGACCTCGAGGCGCGAGGAAAAAGTGCGGACCTTAAGAATATTTGGACCACTTAAGCTATCGGCTGTTTGGGCTGCAAGAGGCGCGAGGAAAGTCTTTTGCAAACTGCTGGTTAGGGCTTCGACGGGGTTGGAAGTTGCGCTGAGAGCAGTAAGAGCAGGTTTTGAAGGGGACGGAGAATAGTATTTCTGCATTGCTTCTGGGAGCTTTTTTGATGGGAAAGACGATGAAGATGAAGATGAGCCAGTGGCATTGGTGAGAGATTTGTCTTCAGAGCCATGGCCACCTAGCTCCCGAGCTCCGAGACCAAGTGTGGTAAGAATAGCAGCACGCTGAGCCAGAGAATAATCACCATTAAAGAATGTTTTGGAAAACCATTGGCCCATTTTTTCTGGAAGTGCAATGAGGATGGCGATCATAGCCTGTGAGCGCATTTCTTGGAAGTTCTCGATATCATATTTGTCTTGCAAACCAACAAGAAGAGTTGCGATCTCTTCCGCGTGAGAACTGACCTCTGCACCAAAATTAGCTTTACGTCGTATCAAGGAAGCTGCAGCGGAAAGTGCTAGTTTTTGACGATCGTAATTTTCATTATCTCTTAGATAGGTGATGAGATCACGAATATAGACTGGAGCTGTTGGTTTATTTCTAACAACAAGCGTTGGATCTTCGTCAGAGTCTTCGGCATCGGAATCAGGTTTGGCATAAGGGGTAAGCCCATCGTCATCAGGTTCTACTTCGTCATCGTCATCAATTTCTTCGATGGAGATAATTTTAGAATTTCCCTTGAGGGGATTTGGTTTTGACTCTGGCTTCGCCTTTGCAGCTTTCGTTGTTTTCAATATTTTTGGAACAAACGTCGACTTGAGAGGCTCGAGATTACCGATTGTATCCGATACGTTTACCAAACTCTTGTACCATTTTGCCTCGGATGTTTTCGTATCTTCAATCTTAAAATCCATAATCTTATCTCCTTTATCGACTAAGCTGGACATGGCTTCTCCGATGACCATGCCCAAGAAGCGTGCTCGAGGTGACGATGCAGCTAATCTGTTTGAAACAACACTCAAATGAGAACCCGACCTCATGATCATTGCAAGTCGAATTGGCGACATTCTACAAACGTATCCGGCAGACAGGAGGAGAACTTGCGCATGCACTTGGAATCGTATTAGCAAAGGAATGATATTTGATTTCTTGAATTAGCATACCTTCTTGTTGCAAGGTAGGCGCATGTCTAATATACAAATTATCACCAAACTGGCTCAAACTTCTTTCTAATATGCTTTCCATATCCTTCTTACTTTTTGAGAGGGATGCGATAGCAGCACGTCGAATTGCCACACCTTCGCCTATACCAGCCCCCGAAGAGTCTGTCAACCAAGATATCAGATAATCTTTCCGCGACTCGTTATCAGCGATTAGCATGCTAATGAGCTTAGCCGCTGCTGATACGATGACTGCATTTGGTTGCCACCACTTCTCATCGTCCTCGGATGTGATATCCAATGATAGATTATCCCGTGATAGTAGATTTAGAAATGTATAAAGTAGATTTCGTTGTTCAAAGCTTGGAAGATATCCATATAGCTCCAGGAACTTTGCTGCGTGTTCTTCTTTTTGTAAGAGTAGAGAGCCTAAAATCTCTTTGGCAATATTATCTGGACCCCGGTGAGCGATGAAATCAAGTCAATCCAATGAGTAGTCTTACCAATATGACCAAGCCTAAGACACTTCCCAAAGAGCTCGTTGCAGCTCTTCCATGCTTGCTCGGAGTCTTGTGGCAGGGCTTTCAACCAGAAGATGAGATTTTGGCCCAGCCATCTGCTATAGGAGCCTCCATCGGCAACCCAATACTTGTCATTTGGCTGTTTACTGAGTTCATTAGAGATTCCTTCGGCCTCAGAAGTGATACCAATGATCTTTCCACTCCCTATCAAGGTCAAAAACTCGGTGAAAAGAACCCTCTGCTTGATAGGGACATCGGATGAACTAGTGATAGTGTTCCACAGCTTTTCGATAGTGCTTTCCCCTTCAAGAACCTCAACACAAAGTCGCAGCTGTATCTTTAGACTCTCTTCGATACTTGAACCTATACATAGTTAGATTATCAAATGAATATCTTATTTAGACCTAGGTTTCGGATAGCTCACCTCCTATATTTCTTTTAGTCTCCTTAGACTGCTGCGTGAGTCGCTTTAAATTCAGTAATATAGCATTAATACCGGTAGTACTTCGAATTGATTTAAGCAGTAATTTGAGAATAGAAGATTGTTTGCTATTTTTGGCCTTGCCGCCTGACTCATGAAATATACTCCAGTAATTGGGTGTGACTTCAGACACCAAAACATGAACCAGCTGAGAAGCCAAGGGACCTGGAGAAGTAATACTAAAATCTGTTTTATTATCAAGAAATTCCAGAGCCGACCTCAAGTCGTCAAAACTGGGCTGATTTTTCAGAGTTTCCAATGCTTGTTCAGCGCTTGATATGTGTATAGGATTTGAATGGTTCTTCTTGACTGGCTGGATTAATGGTGAAGAGGTAGAAACCTCAATAAGAGCATTTTCATCTTTTTGCTCTTGTCTCTTATAGACTATACTCACGGGTGTGAGCAGATCATCCATAGCTGCATCAAGTTTATTTGATGAAAGATCCCGAGCAGATTGTTAGATTCAAGTAATATTTTTGATTCTTAGAGTCTACAGTATTTAGAAAAGCTAAGTACACGCCGGGCAATCGCGTCTAGCGCGTTTGCGATAGCGCTAAAAAGCTCATGCACCTCGATAAGAGGACACTCCATTTCTAACAGTTCCGAGCCATTTCGATCATGCAATTCTCCTTCTCTACAATAAATTCCTTTACCGCAGCAAAATACTCGAGAAACTATTAAATACTCAAGTTCTCTAACTATGGCAACCCAAACACTCTCAAGATGGTACGCATATACTTCCGATTTGTTTACTATCAAACTAACAATTCGAAGGACTTATTTAGACAATATCCGTCGAACTCCTGGACCATTTACTGATGAGGAGTTTGATGGTAGCGAGGCATGCACTGCTCTCCTTGACCACATGAAGATCTTGTAAGTTTGGCTATTCTTGAAAATAAACAAAGAATGTATTGCTAATATATCTCCAGGGTAATGTTGGTTGCCTAGAAAGTTCACAGAATAGAGCTCCGAATGCTAACGGAAAGTAGTGGAGCGGGAGGTCTTGGTTGCGAGATCTTAAAAAATCTAGCGCTATCAGGATTCAAGACGATTCATGTGATCGATATGGGTACTTTCTATCCAACCCAATCCGAGACAACAATCTAACTAAGCTGTTGTAGATACAATCGACGTTTCAAATCTGAATCGACAATTTCTTTTCCGCCATAGTGATGTTGGCAAGTCCAAGGCTGAAGTTGCAGCCAAATTTGTGGAGAAACGAGTAAAGGGTGTCACGATTGTACCGCATAATTGCAAGATCCAAGACAAGGATGAGGAATTCTACATGCAATTCAGCATTGTGGTATGTGGGTTAGACAGTGTCGAAGCCCGACGATGGATCAATTCTAAATTGGTCGACATGGTTGATATGGAAAATCCGGACAGTCTGAAGCCATTGATTGATGGCGGTACCGAAGGTATTAGAAATGTTTCAAGCACTTAAAGCAAATTTGCTAACGATATTATCAGGATTCAAAGGTCACTCCCGTGTAATCTTACCGACCATGACTTCCTGTATCGAGTGTCAACTTGATATGCACACACCAAGAGTTGCAGTTCCTCTCTGTACGCTAGCTACAATTCCTCGCCAACCGGAGCATTGTATCGAGTGGGCTCACATTATGGCATGGGAGCAAGAGAAGCCATTTCCCAAGCTAGATAATGATGATCCAGAACACATTACTTGGCTTTACAAGAAGGCCCTAACTAGAGCGGAAGAATTCAACATTCCGGGTGTTACTTATTCCTTGACACAGGGAGTGGTCAAAAACATCATTCCGGCAATTGCCTCAACTAACGCAATAATTGCGGCAAGCTGCTGTAACGAAGCGTTCAAAATCGCAAGCAGTACTAACCCTTCTCTTGGTTTGGAAGAAAATTATATGATGTACAGTGGAAACGATGGTGTTTACACTTACACCTTCAAGTTTGAGAAGAAGGACGACTGTCCCGTGTGTGGAAACCTGGCAAGAGATTTGAGCATCGACCCCAATTTAACTCTTCAGGAGTTTATCGATTCACTTGCTCATAGACCAGAAGCACAGCTCAAGAAGCCTTCAGTTCGTTCAGCCGACAATAAGTCTTTGTACATGCAGAGCCCAGAGAGCTTGCGTGTGAAGACTGAGCACAACTTGTCGAGGAAGATAGGAGAAATGACTGGAGACGGGGATGAGGTTGCAGTGACAGATCCGTCATTGGGCTCAGTCATGTTCAAGTACAGACTGAAATTTTCCAGGGCATTTGTGCCAGATGCTGCGAATGAGAGTGTGCCCGCTTAGCCGGAGTTTAGCTGTGAACACGACGAAGAATGAATGATGTGAAAACGAAGTAGATTCAGCGGGATTAGGGGCAAAAGGAGTTCTGATAGCTTGCATGTCTAGTTGCCTATGATTAGGTCTTGAGAGAATGTTATCATATAAATAGCATTGATTTTTTGGTTATAATAAGCTCTTTAAAATCTAGATACCCATTTATCCACGAATAAACCAACCACGACGCCATATGTCCTGAAACTCCTGCAATGCTCCCCGATATATCTCCACAAATTACTTCGTCATGTTTTGTAAACTCGTTTTGAATGCTTCACACTTTGTTCTCAGTGTCTTGATCGACTCGAGGAACAATTCATCACTATCCCATTGTCCCAAACTCTCGATCGAGAAAATGAAATGATCTCTGACTCTTCCCAATTTGACCTTGCCTTGGAACTCCTCATGTCTTAAACATTCTCTGCTGACCGTATCCCTCATAGCATCTACAACCACTGCTTTGTCCTCGCCCTCGTGTCCTTCATATCCGCTTCCTTTAACCTTTGCCTCCTTTGCAGTAACCTTCTCGATTCCAATAACGCCGTCAGGGAAACATCTCTTGAACTTCTTGGCATCTTTACCCAGGATAGGTTGAGTAATATCAATCACTGGCAATAATCGATATGAAGCTGTAGCTACCGGCGAAAACTTGGCGTGATCCCTTCCAATTCCCTTAATCGCATGCATATCGATATCAATGACTTGACCGGGTCTCATCTTCGCGATCAAGATATCTGGATTAGGACTCTTGATAGTGTTCTCGCCGCTGAAATACTCAAGTTGTCTTCCAAAAGGCTTAAATTCGATATCCTTCGCATATACATGTGCATTGTGGTATTTCTTTCTTGGATCCGTTTCTTCTGGAGCAGCTTCCTTGTTGCGTGTGCATTCGACTTTTAGGGTCAATTGAATAGTATTATGATCGAAAGAGCCGAGGTGACGTTCTTCTTCGGGGGTTTCTTCCTCGGGCTTTTGGAACCATTTCATGAAATCTAAGAGTCCTTCTTTTCCTCCTTTGAATGGTACGAGACCGAGACGAGCGCAGAGAACTTCATCTTGGATTACAGAGGTGTTGTTTTTGACGAAACAGTATTCGATAGCGAGTGTAGGGATTTCAGCAATGAGAATTCGACGGAAGGCATTGGCGACTGAGGCATCGATGCCAATGAGGGAGAATGAAGAGAGGAGTGGTTCGTTTTGGTGGAATTGTACTTGGAGGTTCTCGGCGAATCTTTGTTTATTCCATGCATGATCTTCGTTAGGCCAATGACCTGGGAAATCTGTGGATGTGATGTCGGTGACGGTTTCGGTGTTTATCCCAACTATCTATGAATGGAATCAGAAATGAAATCAGTGTACATTTGAAGACTTTATACCTTTCTAGCTGCCAATTCTCTTTCAGAAAAGCTTCTGGGTGGTGGGGCATCAGCCGCAGTATATTTTTGTTTTGGTGCCATCTTGTATAATTCTCCAAACCCAAATAAAAAATCGATCGCGGGGTCGTTCTACTCTTAGTCGCACTGTCGCAAAGATTCTGAAGATACAAAAAAATAAATTTTGATATCGGCATCAAAGATCAACCGGCGCCGACCCTTGCTATCCACAACAACCAATCAAATGATCTTAAATAAGCAATGCTAAACAAAAGATCCGTGCTAAGAAGTCAAGAACATCATCAAGATAATCAAAGAGGCAAACGCTAAAACGGCCTCACTCTCCACTCGTCAGTCTCATTGTCTCTCTCAAAACATTGAGATCTGGTAAAAATCATCCAGTATCTCTTCAGTTTTGTTCACAATGGTCGCATCACTATTCCGGCAGGCCGGGCGCACAGCTACTAGATGCTCGTTGCGACCCACCACACTTCGTCCCTCAACATCAAAAGCCTCAATTAGAGCATTCTCAGCACTCCCAGCCCGCAGATACGCAGAGCCATACGAAGGCACAAGATTAGTTCCTACCGATGAACATTTCGCATTCAACAACACTCCAGATAATCTCGACGTAGCTCCCGATTCAAGACTGTACGAAGACGAAAATGTGGAGAAGAGGAAGATTCGCCATTATACCGTGAACTTTGGCCCTCAACATCCAGCTGCTCACGGTGTGTTGCGTTTAATTTTGGAGCTTAACGGAGAGGAAATCGTGAGGTCGGATCCTCATGTCGGTTTACTGCACCGGGGAACTGAGAAGTTGATCGAATACAAGACATATATCCAGGCTTTACCATACTTTGATCGATTGGATTACGTTTCTATGATGACCAATGAGCAATGCTTCTCTTTGGCTGTTGAGAAGCTGCTAAATGTTGAGATTCCTGAGAGGGCAAAATGGATTCGAACACTTTTTGGTGAAATCACTAGAATTTTGAATCATCTTATGTCGGTTTTGTCTCACGCAATGGATGTTGGTGCTCTTACACCTTTCTTGTGGGGTTTCGAAGAGCGTGAGAAGCTTATGGTAAGGAAATTTTGTTATTATTGATTTTGACTATCTAAGAAAATGTAATGGTGCTGATATCCAACGTAGGAATTCTACGAACGAGTTTCAGGAGCCCGCTTGCACGCTGCATATGTTCGTCCAGGTGGTGTCCATCAAGATATTCCAGTTGGACTTCTTGACGACATCTACCAATGGGCCACTCAATTCGGCGACCGTATCGACGAAACTGAGGAACTACTTACCGATAATAGAATTTGGATTGGAAGAACGAAAGGAGTTGGTGTCGTTTCAGCCGCTGACGCTCTGAACTTGAGTTTCACTGGTGTTATGCTTCGAGGTAGTGGTGTTCCATTTGACATCCGTAAGAGCCAACCTTATGATGCATATGACCAAGTAGACTTCGATGTACCAGTCGGTGTTCATGGTGATTGCTACGACCGATACCTCTGCAGAATGGAGGAATTCAGACAATCCCTCCGAATCATTCATCAATGCTTGAATAAGATGCCAGCTGGACCGATCCGAGTAGAGGACTACAAGATCTCACCACCACCCCGTGCTGCCATGAAGGAGAACATGGAAGCACTTATCCACCACTTTTTACTATTTACCAAGGGATACACTGTTCCACCTGGAGAGACTTATTCCGCAATTGAGGCACCAAAGGGTGAAATGGGTGTGTACGTTGTAAGTGATGGGAGTGAAAGACCATACCGATGCAAGATTCGCGCGCCAGGTTTCGCTCATTTGGGTGGATTCGATCAAATCTCAAGAGGACATTTGCTTGCTGACGCGGTTGCTATCATTGGTACCATGGATTTGGGTAAGTTTTCATGAAAACAGCTGTCGCTTTGCTTGTAGGTCCATGCTAATCATACTCGCAGTCTTCGGAGAAGTTGATCGGTAGTCGTGATTCGACGAAAAGGAAAGTGAGAAAGGAAAATAAGATGCGGTGATGGTACAGTGGTTTCAAGCAATTCCGGCGCAGATTTTTCTCCTTTGTTCTCAATGTACAAATTCTAAGTGAAAGGCTGAGTTAGCATAGTTCCAGCATTGCACGACATAAATGACTATCCCCAAAAAAATTGTCTGCATCTGAAAACTTACATGAAATTTTTGCCTTGTTCTTGCTTGATTCCTTTAAATTGTTGAGTTTGGTCGTGGCATGCTGCTAATGACTCTTGGCGTACGCAACAGGGAAACGTTCATAGTAGCAGGTGTATCTTGAGAATGCATTTGAGCTTGTCCCTGAGTATTTGCTTGAGTAGTTGCTTGTGCCGCATGAGAATCAGTTTGAACTGGACCGGTCGTAGTAGTCATCTGCATTTGAAGTTGTCCCATAGATTGGGTGATTCTAGCTCTTTGAACAGTGTTGCGTTGAGTATTGCCATTCCCATGACGTCCATTGCGTCTAGCTCCATGATGACCCTCATTGAAATATCTCGGAGCAGCAGGAGCTACCAAAGGCAAGTCCCCTAGATAGGGAATCTGTGGTGGCAGTGGAGGTAAACCATTATCCGCAGGGTGCCATGCATTTTTTGGACTAAAAACACCACGAGAAAGAGGGGAGAATGTGGGAGCACGAGTAAAACCGCCCATTCGTTGGTTTTCGGCCATGGAGACTGCGGCAGGACCTTGAGCGCGTGTTTGGGGTGAGCCATGTGCATTAGTATTGGCACTGGTGCTTGCATTGAAATGAGGACGATCCATGTAGTAGCCTGCGTAGTTGTAGGTGTCTCGTTGGGCATCGGTTTCCATGGCTTGATGCTGCGGATAGATCATCGGATAGCTGATTTGATCTCCAAATGCAGCGGGAGGGGCATGTTGAAATCTAGCTTGGCTTGGAGGACCTGTTTGACCGTATGCTCGAGGATCCATGCCACCATTTGGCGCTTTCTCAGAACCGTGCATTGGCATTGGCATTGGCATTGGCGCATTAGGCTCCGGATTGGGACTCCAGGAGTACCGGTTTCCAGGGTAGATAGTGCTACCATTTCCATCACTATAAGTAGATGGAGCGAAACTGGGGCTCTGATAGCTAGGAGGACCTGAAGAAGGAGGTGGAGGCATCTCAAAAGAGTGAAATGCATGAGTTTCAAGTCTGTGGTTGGCGAGAATGAGATGTCCTGGAGGATAGACACCCATGTTTGACATTCTTGGATCAGGGGGGATGATCATCATATCTCCGTACATAGGAGATGAACTTGTTCTAATGGGAGGATTCTCGATGGGTCGAGCAGGTACAACGCCTGTAATGGGATTCATGTCGTATGGACCTCTTCTATGGACGTTGGCGACATGGAAGTATCGATGGGAAGAGGCTGGATCGCGGGGGTGAGGACTGCAATAACCTGGTGGTGTAGTGTTCATCATAGCTTCATTGTTTGGTCCTTGCATCATAACGTGATTTCCGCCAATTCCTTCCGTTTGCGTGCCTTTTCCCTCACGTCCTCCGCAATTGTTGTTATCGCCAGCGTTATCGATTGTACCTGCAGTATTCGCACCGGTATCTCGGCCTCTTCCTCTTCCCCTGGTTCTCGCTCTTCCATTTCCATTGCCATTTCCTTCTCCCTCTCTCCTGAAATCTCTAGACTCCAAATCACCACCCCGCTCTCTCTCCCGACGCTCTCTCTCTGCCCTATCAAATATAACCTCACACTTACACTCTCCTCGCTCATGTCTCTCTCGATGAGCATTCTCTTCGGCTATAATGCTGATATTCCAACTCACACGCATGCAAGCATGACAGAATTGGTTGGCAGGAATGGTTTGCAAGGCCGGAATAGAACATGGGGGAAAATTATCGTTTTGAGCGGTAGTTGGGCATTTCGTAATGCAAGGCAAACTGCAGTGGCCACAGGTGTAGCCCCAGAACGATTTGAAGCACATGATGGACGATTCGAGGGTTTTACGAGTGATATGAAGGTTTGTGATCGAAAATGTGTGTGATATGTCGTTTAATGCCTTTGCATGGGTATCAGAGTGCTATGCAGTACGAAATTCGGTGTATTATTGTCGAAATTGAAGCTATTATTGCAATCGTAGTTGTGAATGAGGAATAAGGAAGGTTGAGAAGATATAGTTGCAGGATTAGTTCGATATTCGAAGTGGTGTTTCAAAATGTTAGGTGGTAGCGTGGTGAAGGGGTTCGATATGAGTCAAGTGAATGAGAATCGCTTTATCGAAAGATTATTCAAAATTGTAAAGATTGCCTGTATATCCAATCAGATCGTCGAATTCGAGTATTTGGGAGTGTTATTTGAGGGTTTGGGAGTCGTATGGTATGGGAGATTGATAGATATGGCCTGAATCGGGGTGCAATAGTTAGTTGATGTTTCGATCCAAAAGAGATAGGCTTTGAGGAGGAATCGGGAGTAAAGGGAGACGTACCTTACTATGCAAGAACTTCGTAGAGTCAATTTTCTTACGAGAAGTAATGATGCTGTCGTTGAATACTGTATAATGCTTGTGTGAGTACTTGATTAGATTGTACAATGAGGTCCACAGACTGCAATTGTACTGTGCCCTTACGTTTCCGAAACTTCAAGGAAGACAATGGGAAGGGGAAGGAATAAAAAATGGCATAATACATACCTTTCGTGGAAGAAGCCTCAAAGTATCAATGGTGGAGACTCTGAGATATCAGTAAGTCTTCGCAAAGCTCTAATGCTTGTTTCACCGGTATAGATGCAGGATATTGAGGGTAATTGGAAGTAACAAAGGAGAGGAATGCTCGTTGAAGAGTAGTTATACGTACATTGATCGACCTGCGAGAAGAAACGCAATGTTTCCAATACCTTTGAAGCTCTCTCTTTCCGGAGCAGTGGTAGTAATAGCAAGTATCTTGTTCTCCAAGGTGTCAAGTAAGTTAGATAAAGTTCTGATAAAGTATTGCTCTGGAGGACTTACGGAATTCTGGCCGTGTTTTGTAGAGTGGTATTGAAAGAAAGAGGGCAGCTCCAGAGATACTACTTTATGCTCATGGGCTTCAGAGAATGGGCGAGATCGGAGCGAT